CAACCAGCCTCCTCAATCTCCAACCTGTTCTACATCCCCTCTCCACCCGTCCACAATCAGCCTCCTCAATCTCCAACCTCCTGCAGCCGTCCCTCTCTGATTTGGATCAAAGTAGATCCATCGATGGAGGCAGGGGAGCAGCAGATGTGGAGCCATCAGACGAGTAGGATCAGCTCGGGAAACATGAGGGAAGGGATGGATCTGGTGGATGCCGGGGAGCAGCAGATGGAGCAAAAGAAATAAAGAATCAGTTGCTCCCGCTGCTACCTCCCAGCCGCGTCCCACCCCGTTAGGAACGCTGCCCGGCTCCCCTGCTCCTATCGCCCCACCTTTTCCTAGCCAATAATCAAGGTAATTTCCCTCTCTTTGTTTTTTTACTTTACACGGTGCATAGCAGTCAGAATTTGTACATGTAGATCCTAAAACGTTATGCTATGCAGATAGGCTTGCTCTAGGCGCTGAATATCTTGTAGTTGAAATTACTTGGGATGCTTTCTGAATGTGGTACTTACACAATCAAGTTATGTGCCAAGTCAAGTCTTATGTTGTGGATCATGTGGGTGTAAAAGAATAGATTAGTAGTACCAAGTCTGATCCGTCTTCACTATGTGGAGCTTTCCATTCGTCTTTTGTAATGTTCCATTAACCATGTGGAGCTCTAGACAAATTTTATTGACTCCAAAAGAAACAGATTGATGATGTTTTTTGTAGACAAAATACAATAAAAGGTCATTGTTGCATAATTGGGGAAAGCAACAAAAGATCTTTTTCAGATAATGATGTGCTGTTATGATCTATATAAAATCTTTGGGTCATTCACCTCACTGTATTATGATTGATGAGTTAATCACCTCATTCCCCTTCCTCCTCCCCGACTTAGGGGTGCAGTAGAGGAGCACCAGTACCGGTGTAGAATGCATCTGCAGTGGTGCGGGTTGGGGACCGAGTGACGGATTCAGGTCAAGGGGGTTTTCGGCTAGCGCAGAAGCAGGCTGCATAAGAATGCAATAATGTGATTAAGCAAGGCAGGCGTCTGGGAAACAAGAATGGTGATGGCTTGCTCAACTAGAAGTTCTACAATAAATGGTACAAGCATTGATCCCTTCTTTCTGTACCTTTGGTTCTGGTTCACGGGAGCTTTAGCTCTTGAAGTTGGCTTGCTTTTACTGGTAATGATTTGTGGTAATGCTTTTCTCATCTTTCTTAGTTAGACAAGCACAGATTTATCCACGCCAGCAGCCGTCATTTGTTTGATTTTTTTATTGCTGCGGTCGTGGCCCTTGAGCTGCGTTGATTTTTCTATTTCTTAACTATCATGTATCACTTTTACCTGCATATTCAAGGATTTTTTTTCTTGGTACTAGGATGGATATTTTCTCCTGGAATGCAGATGGATGTCTGATTGAGAAGATGAATCAAGCATCCTGCTATGATATGACAGAGCAGTATGGTGAGTACATAGGGAAGCAGCTCAACATCCGGCATACTACAATTTCAATTTCTACAATGCAGATGAATGCTATGCATTTTTCGGTGTATGAGTTCTTTGTGATTTCCTCCCATATTTTTGATCCAGACTTTCATGATACACACACATACTATAAACTTCAGTACTACTAATTGCTAGCTTTATTTGGTCATATCTGATTCTCTGTTGTTAATCCGCTCCTACATTGCCAAGCTCAGTTTGATTATACATGGAGTGTGTTTTATTCTCTGATGATATTTCCATATTTTTAAATATATGGCAAGCAAAACTCTTGGTGTTAGTGCTTATTCTTTTTGTTTTAGATGGTTTACTACGGTACTTGAGTCATTTATTGATTTATTTTGGATGTTGAATTGTACCATGCTCCAGGAAGTTGATATCTGACTGTCTAGAGTTTGTGCCTAATTTAGATTGACCATGGTATGGACCAATCCAAGGTCCATCAGGATGTAGACAGTGTCCGTAAATTCCTTCTGGACCAGTACATCAATAAAAAAAACATGTCAATGCACAACACTCCTACATTAACCATTCTCAACAAAGTCATGCCTGTATTATGAGAAATCAGATCAACGTTGGTGGGCAAGAAGTTTCAGTTTTCTTTTATAATTCTATTGATGATTGATTAGTTATTAGTTATGCTCTCGAAGAAGTTGCCGATGGAGATAGCTGGGGTGTCATCGTCCTTCCTTGATCTGGGCATATGTGCCGGCACTTGCAGATTCCATCGCATAGAGAAATGGCACTGCTTCTGTGCTACCTATGATCATTTATGTGCTGGCCAACTTTCATTTTCATGCCAAGCAGGGTTGATTATCAGAGGGCTAGGAAAGATGGAGCATGAGCGGGAGCATCGACTACGATGAGTTCATCAGGGTGACAGTGTACATCAACAAGCAGTAGCAGGAGGAGCACCTGCCGGCTGCCTTTGTCTACGTCGACAAGGATGGCAGTAGGTGCATCACCGTAGAAAAAGCTGGAAGAAGCTTGCCAAGAGTACAACATACATGTTGTATCAACACATCATTAGGGACATCGACAATGACAACATGCGTATGTTTATTCACTGCAGTCTTTGTCTTGAATTAATTAATTGGTTTCAGTTAATTCCAGTGATTAGTTTTAGGGGCTGTTTGGATGACTACCAATAGTTGCCTTACCAAAATATTGGTCACGCCCGACCCTTTTGGCCTCCACCTGGATCACGACCAATTTTGGCTCGCCCCAGCGCGCCCGCGCCCATTTTCGCCAAATCGCGGGCGAAACGGCGGCGCGGAAATCGGCCGCCAAAAAATTGGCAGCGCGCGAACTGGGCGTCGAGTATAAAAGGTAGGCAGCGAAATTTCCTCGTCGGTTCCTTCACTTTCCTCTTTTCATCCCAGGCAAACACACAGGAGCGAGTGGAGGGCAAGATCTGCAGCTATCGCCAAGGCCGCCGGATTCCTGCGACAATACGAGCTTCTCCGGCCGCCGCCGGCGTTCCTCTGTCTCTCGTTCTCATCTCTCAATCCACCCACGGTCAGCAGCTCAACTCCCCTTCAATCCCACCCCGATCCCCTTTTCTCTTGGCATGATTTGCTTCAATCCGACCTTTTTAATTGGTGATATGCTGCACGTACGTATATACTTGCCAGATCTAAGTACTTGCCTGCCAAATCCATGCCCTTTGCCCCTGCTCCCAGTCTTAGATCTCCATATGCAGCATCCGTGAAGTTATAAGGCAGCCAAGACACTAGAAATTAGACATGAGAAGGATATTTGACACAGAGCTAGTTATGAGTCCATATGACCTCTGTTTTTAGAACATTGTTGTCCATAAATTTCTTAGGAGCCGGCTGGACATATATGCTTAATTGTTGATTGGGACTTATTATCTCTGTCTCTTATTTCTGATTCACAAATAGTCAAGCACATATCTGTATTTTTTGTTAATGATTTAGGTGGATCTTTTTATAAGTTACTCATCACTATTATTAGTTATAAGCAGCTCTGATTTTGTACAATGTAAATATGATTTAGATCATTCATATTAATGTACTTGTTATATTGACCCAGATGGACTTGGATCAGCAAAAATATTATTATCTCACCATGTTGTGGCGGAGAACTCTGTCTGTCATTGTTCTTCTCTTGGCTCTTTGGTATAGAAACAAAGATGGTAGAAAATTTAGAAGTGGAGGAAGAAAGTATGGTCCACTAGTTGAGAGAGACATCTACAGGACTAATGTCCTGGTTAGGCTAATTGACACATCCGATGCAATATGTATCAAGCAACTGCAGATGTCTCGAGCTGTGTTTTACAAGCTATGCATTAGGCTCAGGCAGAAAAAGTTGTTAATTGATACACTACATGTTTCAGTAGAGGAACAAGTAGCAATGTTCCTATACATGATCGGTCAGCATCACACAAATTCATCCATTGGATTTTGGTTCTGGCGATCTAGTGAAACAGTGAGCAGATATTTCAATATTGTTCTTCGTGCGATGGGGGAGTTAGCTCGTGATCTCATTTACATTAGATCAACGGACACACACACAAAAATCACTAGCAGCCCGGACAGATTCTACCCGTATTTTGAGGTAACCCTTAGACCGTAGATTTATTACTGATTATACAAGATCGACCTAACCCAAGCTTGACATGAACTTCCCTTTCTCATATTCATAGGGATGCATAGGGGCACTAGATGGGCACTCATGTTAAGGCTTGTGTTCCTGCCCACATGGTCGACAAGTTTAGGGGCCGCAAGTCATACCCCTCCCAAAATGTGCTAGCAGTTGTTGACTTCGACCTTCGATTCACATATGTTCTAGCTGGTTGGGAGGGCTCTGCCCATGATTCTCTTGTGCTAAAAGATGCCCTCACACGTCCAGGGGGATTAAAAATACCCGAAGGTACATATACAACGTAACATACATGTTTGTCACTGTGTTGTGCCAACTTGACTTTAACTCATTGTTAATACAACATGGCTGTAGGGAAATATTTCTTGGCTGATGCCGGGTATGCTGCGAGGCCAGGGATATTGCCTCCTTATCGTGGTGTGCGCTACCACCTAAACGAATTTGCTGGAGACCGTGACCCAACTACCCCAAAAGAATTGTTCAACCACCGCCATTCATCACTTAGGACCACAGTTGAACGGGCATTTGGGACTCTTAAGAGTCGCTTCAAGATTCTTACTCAAAGGCCCTTCATACCTTTGAAATCTCAGAAAAGTGGTAGTTGCTTGTTGTGCTTTGCACAATTGGATATTAGAAAATGGTCCAGATGATTATGTTGTGGATGAGGCGACATGGTATGCCAATCTCCCTAGGAGTACTGGGCGGGTTCGTGATCAAGAGGCTGACATACGTGAGTGGGCTGCCAAGCGAGATTTAATCGCTCAGCAAATGTGGACAGATAGAGAGAGTGCACGTGACAATGAGGCTGATGCTATCCCAGCTTAGTATCTTTGATGTATTTCCATGTGAGGGAACATTTGAAGGATGTACTGTACCTTTGATGTATTTCCATGTGAGGGAACATTTGAAGGATGTACTGTACCTTTGATGTATTTCCATGTGAGGGAACATTTGAAGGATGTACTGTACCTTTGATGTATTTCCATGCGAGGGAAAAATTGAACGATGTAGTGTTTCAATTTAATCTGGTCTCTCTGTCCTATTAAATAAGTTTAGTTCTGTCCTGTTGTAAGTTGGATCTGTGATGTTTCATGTTCGTATGCTGACATTTTTTTGAGGGTTTTTGCTTCCAACTCACTTTCTTAATAACTAGTTGTTTGCAATGGTGACCTATCTGTAGGTCATGGGGAAGCATAAGCTCACTCTGAAGATCGAGGAGGACTCCAATCCTCGTGATAAGTACATAACCTGGACTAACGAGGCGACAAGGTTTATGCTTGAATGGTATATCGACCTTCGTAAGGACAAACCTGCAACTTTCAAGTTCAAGAAACAACACCACTTGCAATGTGCTGATGCTCTAAATGGCAAGTTTTCGCTTGGTGTCACTCAAACCCAAGTGGATCGACACTATCGTCAATGCAAGGAGAAGTGGGGCTGGGTGCGTCGTGCCATGGCCAATAGTGGAAATGGCCTTGACAGAACCACTTTCACATTCACACTTTCTGAGTCAAAAAAGCAAAGACTCAATGTAAGTTCTTAGTAGTTTTTTCTCTTATTTATATCATGGTCTGATTTTAAAATGAGTGGATAGCTGCTATTGTCTATATATATGTATGCTTCATATTCACTGTCTCTTGTTGTGTTTTTTTATACCTGCAACTTCTCTCATGTTTTGTGTTCATAACATCATTATTTTACTCTTTTTACCTTACCTTGTGTGCAGAAAACTGCAGTCAATTATCTTACCAGACCCATTAGGTTCTTTCATCAATTGGAAGAGTTATTCTCGGATCAATCTCATGCTGATGGCTCACTCGCAGTTGACCAAACCACTGTCAATGTGGATGATGGTAGTGATGACAGCGAGGATGTGAGGGAACTTGAGGGAAATCTAATTCCAGCAGACAGTGATGAAGCTGACTCTGACACTATTGATCGTCGCAGTCCTAAAGTCGACTTGGATGGCAATCCATTAAACAAGAAGCGCAAGTGTGCGTCATCATCACCTTCCAAGAAGCCAACCAAGGGCAAAGCAAACAAGAAGGGCAAGGTATCTAATGATGATATGGTAACCAGTATCAAGAAGCTAGCTGAATCCCTTGCATCCCCTATTGTGTCTGTGCAACCAATGCCACCTGCAGATCCTTATGCAAATCTTTGGAAGCGGATCAATGCCCTTACCATCCCAGCTAAGGATAAACTTGAGATTGTTGCCTATCTATCCAAGCCAGACCAAGATATCTTTCGTAGTTATCTTAACTATGCCGATGAAACAATTCTTCGAGAGTGGGTCATTAGCTACTTTGAGCCTCAGTTTCATGAAGGTGGCAATGATGGATCTGCGGCTGCTCACTGAATTGCCACATGGTTAGATAGAGTTTGTGGCAACCTTTTGTTTATATGGCTAGGAACGCTTTAACACATAGTGGGAGCATGGATAACATCATCATGCATATTTTGTCTATATACAGCAAACTTGGGTGCATCATGTACTGTTTGTATGGAGTGCATTTGGTGCATGGCTGGCTGTTTATGTCCTAGATGGTATGGTAAAGGATGTGAACCTTATTCCGTCTATCATGTATCAGACAATATATGAGCTACTTAATGTATGAGTTTAATTCTGAAGTTCTGAAAATGCAGAGTTTGTGTGCGTATGTGTGTTGGTTAATTCAAATTTTTATTTTTTTGTAGCATGTGATATGTGACTGCTTGTTTACACACAAGCGTTCTTTTATTTGGCTGGCATGCAATTTTCAAATTTTGAAACCAAACCAAACACATGCCAGTCAAATGTGCCAAATATTTGGCTTGAAACCAAATGACATCCAATGGTTTTGCCAAAAAATTGGCAAGTACTAATGGCTACAATCCAAACAGCCATGACTTGCCAATTTTTTGGTCATGCCCTGGAATTGGTGATGCCAATTATTTGGTAGGGCAAGATTGGGCTCAATCCAAACAGCCCCTTACTGTTAAGCTAAAAATTACAAATCTGAAATCCAAATTGAGCAAGTCCTTGATATATAGTATACACTTGATTAGCATTGTCGAATCGATGATGACGAGTTTGTGGTGATGGTGGAGAAGGGGATCACCAGAGGCACATCTCCCACGTTATCATTCTCCATGGAGCGGACGGCCTCAGTTAGCATCATGGCTCCTCCACCAGTCGATCACTGTTGTGCCAATTGCATATAATTAAAAAAGATTAATTATACTGTACTTGTATACAACCTAGCTACCCACATTATTTGTTTACTATGCAAGATAGATGTGGTACCAGTAAGAACTCATGTTGCTTTAGATACAGAGTATATCTTTTGACTGAATTTTCATATACAGTACTCGGTCTTTGTTTGCGTTGTGCTATGGATGATATCAACATTTTTAACACAATTCATTATTGATGTTGTTTGTGTAAACTGACGGAGATAAAAAAATGTTTGCATCATCTATGTGATTTGCATCCTATGATATTTAATTTGACATCGCTTTAAGGTGTTATTATTTTATACTGCTACTGGATTAGTATGGTTGCATGAAAAACTGAATTTTCTTTCTGGTGAATTTTTTAAATTCATTGAGACAAGGTCATCAAAATCATGACGATCGATAGATATGAGGTAGTCAGGAATATGAATATGTGATTCTTACCGGCGCCAGCTCTGGCCATATAGGTTCAGAACCAAGCACGAAGGTTAATCCAAATATGCAGGGAAGAATACAAATGCGAAAATGCATAGTCACGTAAGATGACCATACAGAGACAATATTATGCATGAAGGTTTGGATTGTTTCACACCGAGTTAAACTGAAGATGCAAAAATACTGTATGAAAATTCTATAAATGAGGAAAAACGTTTGCTTTAATGAAACTGGTCCCCCTTATATTCTGAAATGTCTACACGTGTTCACACAAACTATGGTTGAAGATGAAAGGCGCCAAGGACGCACAATGGCGGGTGCGGGAAGGCATCAGAAGAGCTCGGGTAGATAGCCGTGAGCGAGGTGCATCTCGACACAAAAGGGCAAGGTGATGCTAGAAGGAGCCGGAATAGTGCGAAGGTCTACCAACCGAACGCATGGTGCAGGAATTGGAGGTGGACGCTATTTCAACTCAGGTCCTACTTAATCTCAATATCATTTTACATGGCCATTGATGTTTTTTCCCGTTGCAACGCACGGGCCTTTTTGCTAGTCTCTCCCTTAATAATAAAGCACGGATTGGGTCTTCGGGTTCACCGTCACAATACGTTTTCTTTCTGTGAATTTACGCTTTCAGTTTGAATTTTAAGACATAATTCAAGGTGGTACTAATTTTTGGTTTCTTCCGCTCCTATGTCTATGTCGCCCCGTACATCCTAAATCTGCTTTGTCCAGCCTGCAAACAAAGCGGCCCATATGTTCTTTGCGGCTGCACCCTTACAGCCCATCGTTTCGTTTGTTGTTGTACGCTAAAATTTGTGTACATCGCCGGCCCGCATCAGGCACCTAGCTCGCTTTCCTCGATCACATGTAGTTGCGTTCAGACTCTTTCTTCCATCAAATAATCCCACCTGGCTACTTTACATCTGATCTCACCAGTTCATATACGTACGTTCTAAAAAATCAACAAGCGGCCTCCAAAATCAAGAAGGAAACAAATCAAAAAGGAAATGAAGGAATTAATTTCTCTGGATATGCAGACGCCCATGAGAATCAACAAGTGGCCCTTAAAATCGGAAAGGGAATGAATGGAACGAAGCAGCCTCAAATACCTACTTCCTCCTTCCATCTATATAGGGCGGCCTAATGCGTTTTTCGAGGCTAACTTTGACCAAATGTTAGAGCAATAATATATGACATGCAACTTAAACAAAGCATACCATCAAATTCGTATGTGAAAGAAGCTTCCAATGATATAATTTTCATATTATACATGTCATGTAATATTAATCTTGTCAATAGTCAAAGGCGGTCTTGAAAAACAAATTAGGCCCTATATAGATGGAAGGAGGGAGTACTAGGAAAGGAACGAACCCTTGAAATCCGGAATGGAATGAAGCAGCCTCAGAAATTAATAAGGGAGGCAAGAAATCATCTCCCGAAGGAAACAAAGAACAACTCAGATTTAACACCCCACCGTGAGCTTATATTTTGATGCGGCTTGGTAGATGTTTAATCCTTAGTGGCTGCGTGGTGGTGGCCACATGACCCGCGGGCGGTTGGTTTGTTTATGGCCAGATTTTTTAATCCTTTTTCACTTAAAAATAAGAAGACATGCATGATATACATTTAGGTGCGTGTGAGGTTAGTGATTACTGTGAGGTTAGTGATTACTGTGCATGCATCACACTCCCTCCGTCCGAAAATACTATTATCCGTTTTGATGACAAGTATTTTCGAACAGAGGGAGTATATTTTTACACAGTACAAATGCAGACACTCATACATACGCACATAAATTTATGCATATGAACACACATACACATTTTATCCCTATGAGCATCTCCGAGAGACTGAGCCGACACATCGTGTTGAGATTGACGAAGTCACCACAGACATTTTCGTAGTCAACCGATACGTCTCCTCCCACTAAATGCACACATCATCGAAAGTCCAGGTAAGCTGGGATACCATGGAGGACATCAAAATTATCTTCTCTTGCAGCGCACGTGCTGATTGACTACAATTAAAAAATATTGTGGGCTCCGTGTGATAGAGTGTGTTTGGCTCTTTAACTAAGCAAAATTGTGAACTACTACTTCCGTTCGGAATTACTTGTCATAAAATGGATGTATTTATAACTAAAATACATTTAGATACATTTATTTCTTGGACGAGTAATTCCGAACGGAGGGAGTACATGATAACGCATTAGAGTATTTAACCTGGATTTCACGGAATATGCACTCAACCATTTTTCTAAAATATGTACGACGAGCACACCATCGTTTCACTAAAATATAGAGCATGTGGTTGTGTATCATAAGTGCTCCTTACCACCGCAGCTTGAGATACAATGCACGCGAGCAAGTATAACATAACTGTGAAGTATATAATACATGCATTCCCTCCTTTTCGGTTTGTTAGCCTTATCTCACTATGTTCTTGTTTGTTAGTCCTATTTCATTTCTCTTCCTCACCTATTTAGATTTTAAGGTGCATTAATTTGTTGCATGCAAAGCTTAAAAGAAAACTAACCAATACATGTTACCATTTTTACTCATTCCATGACCATGAATGCATGCATCACATTTAACGAAGATCTGTATTTTTTATTGACATCGGGATGCACCTCCTTACCTTTGAGAATATTGTCTTGCCAAGTTGATGCACACATTAATGGATGTATCATAAAAAATTTCCCGTTGCAACGCACGGGCATATGTGCTAGTCTCCCTAATAATAAAGCACGGATTGGGTCTCCGGGTTCACCGTCACAATACGCTTTCTTCTCATATCATGATACGCTTTTACGATTTATATAGACAAAATCGTAATAAACGAGATGGTACTAATTCCTCTAAAACGCCACTCCTTACCACCGCAGCTTGAGATACAATGCACGCGAGCAAGTATAACATAACTGTGAAGTATATAATACATGCATTCCCTCCTTTTCGGTTTGTTAGCCTTATCTCACTATGTTCTTGTTTGTTAGTCCTATTTCATTTCTCTTCCTCACCTATTTAGATTTTAAGGTGCATTAATTTGTTGCATGCAAAGCTTAAAAGAAAACTAACCAATACATGTTACCATTTTTACTCATTCCATGACCATGAATGCATGCATCACATTTAACGAAGATCTGTATTTTTTATTGACATCGGGATGCACCTCCTTACCTTTGAGAATATTGTCTTGCCAAGTTGATGCACACATTAATGGATGTATCATAAAAAATTTCCCGCTGCAACGCACGGGCATATGTGCTAGTCTCCCTAATAATAAAGCACGGATTGGGTCTCCGGGTTCACCGTCACAATACGCTTTCTTCTCATATCATGATACGCTTTTACGATTTATATAGACAAAATCGTAATAAACGAGATGGTACTAATTCCTCTAAAACGCCACTCTAGCGTCTAGAGTCACTTTAGCTATTTACCATTAACCAAGTGATAGTGAATTCTAAATCAACCAGCCTGCACGAAAGGCCACATGCAGCTGTCATCCTTGAAACTGTTGACCTTGTCCTCCTTTTTAAGTAGGTCTGACTCTTACTCCGTAAGCGGTATGGGACTAACTTTGTAGCGTCAGCTTGCGCGCAAGAAAAAGGAACAAACGAGCACAGCATCAATTGGAATACTTTGTTGCACGCCTACCACTACACCGCCTAAGCCACATTATTTAGCAAGCAACAAAGCGCTT